ATGTCGTATAACTTGTATCACATATATACATTCATATCACATGTTCATATAAGCTCATAACTTCTTTCACATTTATATGTAATCATGTAGCTTCTTTTCACGTAGTTCATGTCACTTTTTATATCATTTATTTATCATATATAACATGACTTAATATATGTTTGTATTCTTTTTCACCTAATCACATCTACCTTTTCTCATATATCTCATTCATAATCTCTATCATATATGAATTCCTTCACTTATCTTATAGTTATGTATCATATTACATAATTTAACTTATATCATATTATCATGTGTACATATATCATGGACACTTAACATGTATCATATAAACATGTATTCACACATATCATTAACATATGCAACAATCAATAACACACATGTAACATATCAAACATATGTTAATATTAATGAATTCATGCATTTTACTATAGGAAATAGACTTGTCACAAGTCTTATTTCCATTAAACATAATACACTATCTAATATGCACTCACCTTGGCCTCACTAAGTTCCAATCCCATTTTATGATTCCTTTCTTTCGATCGAATCTTAACTTGATGGTCGTCCCAGAACTTGTTCGTGCTCGATATCTATATAATCATAATTTCCAAGACGATTATTAGAAGCCTAAACATTATAATTCGATGCTAATAACTTAAACTAATTTATTGAACTATAATTCATTTTTTCCTTTAGGGGTGTATCGATGCACTATAGGTGCATCGATGCACAAAGTAGCTTCGAAATTTCCATGCATCGATGCCTTCTTGTGTGCATCGATGCACACTGAATAATTTCTAGAATTTACCCTTGATGCATCGGTACATGTTGAATGTGTACCGATGCACACTAGCCCAGAATTCCAATTTATGCACGAAAATCACTTTATTCTAACTTAATTGTGCCATATTTCAACCCCATTCAAATCCTTAACTTACATACACATGTTGAGCCTCATTAATATTCATTTATCTCATATTTAACCTCAATATCTTCTCCTCTTTATAAAATTCAAGAATCACACTCAATTTTCAACATGTTCTAAATCCACTTTTAACACTTCATATTCCTTAATTTAACCATTAACAAGTCAAATTCAACTTCAAAATCTATTAACTCTTTTATTTCAATAATTCACTTAAAAACTCTTCATATTGAATCCTCCCTAACTCATCCATTTTGAAGTTTCAACATACTTTAAATCTCTAAATAATCTTTCTTAGCACCCTAAGAATCAAAACTAAGCTTAAAACTCAAGAATTAACCAACTGAAATTAAATTTACCTTTGCCATGAAGCTTACGGGAAGAGAAGAGGAAGGAGATAACCCAAGCTCCAGACTTTTCTTTTATTTCTCACACTTTCCACGTGTTTTATAGCCTCAAAAGAAAGATAAAAATCTTTATGGTCAAATTACCATTTTACCCTTTATTTCCTTTAATAATTACCAACTAACATCCACTAAATATTCCAATTTAATCCCTGAACTTTTAAATCTTTCAAAATCAGACTTCAAAGTTTCAAAATTTCTATTTTAGTCACTTGCCCCGATTTTGGGATATTACATAAACGAATTTGGAATTTCAGAATGCTAAAATGGTATCAATACCGAAGTGGGTATCGGTACCATAGAAAAGAAGTATCGGTACTGTAGGAGGGGTACCGATACTATTCAGCCTGAAATGTCGAATTAGATATTTCATTTGTCTATGTAAGTGCAAATTAGTTATTAGTTAATGGAAAGTTGGTATTAATCTTAGATATATTGATGTGTAGATTGAGAATGACAGAGTACTGATCGAAGCGAAATAACAAAGAGATTTAACGAAAGCTAAAAGGATTCGTTTAGAACTTACGTGACGCAATGGTGAGTGCAACTCATTTATTTCATACTAGATATGAGGACGACTTGCGATAAGCCAATCTTGAAGTTTTCGATCGAAAACAGTTTATTTATTTTTTGCCTGTAACACCCCTGACGCGTACTCAACCCGGATATGAATCCGAGGTGTCACATTTGACTTTTTAAAACATATGCAATTCACAAATAGGAACAAAACTTAAAATTTTAAATCAAACTAAAAAGATATAAACTTCTTTAATAAGATAATCATTTCACATACATTTTTACATAAAAACTTAATAATTTACATAAATACAAAAATGTAGGAGTTTACAAAATCGATCAGAGCATTTCAAATTAAAAGTATAATACATGCCAATAGTTTACAAAATTAACATAAAAACCTACATTTAATTTGTCCTAAACTGATCTTTCGGTGATATGCTATCCACCACAACTCAGTCTTCTAATTTCTTCAAACCTACGCGTGAGAAAATCACACGCTAAGTCGATGACTTAGTGAGGCAATATTAATAGTGCTAACTTAGTAAACAAAATCTTATTTATTTTATTCGAAATGTTATTCAAAGAACTTTCATTATTTTGCATATCAAAAGTATACTTATGATTAGTTTCCCGTGTTATGTCTTTGTTCCAAATGCTCAAGGTATACTACTGAGAACTCTAGGTATTTGAGTACTATGAGGTTGTGCACTAATGCTGTCACCACAGCTCGTAATTTGCACCGAAGTGTCACATAATTGTCCCGAAGGACCACATAGGTTTGCACCGAAGTGCCACATAGATTTGCACCGAAGTACCACATATTTTCTCGAAGGACCACATAATTATCCCGAAGGACCATATAAAACCCTCGACTCTTGGCATGCCAACTATACCTCTAACTTCATACATATACTTTGGGCTATTAATCACATAATTATGTTCAATCATTATTTGAAGTGTTTCTTATTCACATAGTTTATCTCTCATAGAGTATGTTCACATTCACTGGTTCAAATATCACATAACTTAATCAAAGTTCACATTTCCAAATCCATATAACCATAAAACATAGCTTGTATAATATAAATCGAATAAAACATTACCATATAAAAATAAAAAAATTATAAAGTTTTCGATCGAAAACATTGAGGTTGGCTTATCGCAAGCCTTCCTCAAATCTGTTACAAAACCGAGAAGTTGCACTCACCTTGGCCTCACTGAAGTCTAATCCAAATCTTTAACCCTTTTGAATCGATAATTAATATGTCAAGCTGACCGGAAGTCGATTACATTCAATCACTACACAAAACAATCAAAAATCAATATCGTTCTTCGAATCGTTTCTAACCAATCAGAATAACTTGGGAATCAAGAAACTCTTATTATCCATTTCATGCCTAGAAGTATCGGTACTATCCCTCTAGTACCGATACCGATACTTCTCTTCAAGGGTATCGATACCTCCTCAAGGTACCGATACCAATTTGGCATTCGATGTTTGCATCTTAAAAATGGTATCGATACTACCCTTACAGTATCGATACCTACCCTTACAGTGTTGATACCTCTTCAACAGGTATCGATACTACCCTTAATAACTTCACAGATTTTTCCCTTTAAGTATTAGTACTGTTCTAACGGTACCGATACTCGAAGCCCAGAATGACCATTTTCACTTCGAAAATCAACCTAAAAACTTCCTAAATCTCTTATATTCATCACCCTTAAGCCTTAGAACTCACTCTTATACTTTCACACCAATTAGTCTTCATTTGCTACTCCTAATTATATAAATTCCTGTTTAAACACTTAAATCTCAAAATCAAACCAAAACTTCAAACATGTTCTTAATCCCTTCTAGCACTTCTAACTCTTAAGTTAGATCATTGACAAGTCAAATATCTCATTAAAATTCCAAAAACTACTTTATATCAAAATTTCATTTCAAAACCCATTTTATAAATTCATTTATAAAACACTCATCTTGTTGTTTTAATCCTATTCAAGCTTTCCTTAAACTTATTTAACAGCCAAGCTACCAAAGCCAACCCAAATATTAAAGAAACCATCAAATTTGCAAAAGCTTAGCTTTGCTAATGAGGTCCACAGTGAGAAGAAGAAGAAAAAGAAAAAGAAAGAGTTCCAACATTTTTCTCTTTTTACCACATACTTATCCAATAGTAAAGCAAATAAAATATTCTTCCCTACAAATTACCATTTTGCCCTTGTTAACAATCCATATTTGTTATAATACCCAACACAAAATTCCTCCATAAATCCTTTAATTTATCAAATCATTTATTTAAAGTGCAATTTCATATTATTGTTTTGAAGTATTGGTATGTGAAAATGTTTATATGTGAATATGCTTTATACAAAAATGTTCTATGTGAAAGTAAACTACGAGAATGTACTCCATGTGAATAAGATATACTTTAAAGAATGAAATGATAAATAATTATATGGTTAAATCCCAAGGTATATGTATGAGAATTAGAGGTATAGTTGGCATGTCAAGAGTCTACACGGTCCTTTGGGACAAATCTATGTGTTCATTCGGGACAATTCTATGTGGTCCTTTGGGACAAATTCTTAACAGTCTTTTGGGACAAATTCTACGTGGTACTTCAGTGCAAATTATATGAGCAGTGGTGACTACATTAGTGCACAACCTCAATGTACTCAGATGCCTTAAGTTCTGAGTATTATGCATTGGGATATAATAATAAAATGATATAAATTGAACTATGAGTAACCTTAGATGTTATTTCATAAAATGTATCCTGACTTCAATATGAAATGTTTTATATGGATTGAATGAGAAAATGTTTTTAAATGTTTTCTTTTATAATCATTATTGTCTCACTAAGTCAATGACTAAGCGTGTGAGTGATTTTCACACGTAAGTTCTAAGAGATCGGAGGAGTAAAGCTAGGAAAGTACATCACATACGCCAAGAAGATAAGATCATAACCATTTAAATCATAGGTTTCTTATCTTTTTGTAAATTTGTAGGCATATATCTCAAAGTTTTTAAATGGAAATGCTCTGATCCGTTTTGTAATCACACACCTTTATATTTATGTAAATTATTGAATGTCTTATTTTTATTCTGAAATTTAAAAATGAATTTTATTATAAAGGTTTCACCACTTAAATACAATTCAGCGTTTAGTAAAAGTTTTTAAAAGTTATTGTGACACCTTAGATTCGTATCCAGGTCGGGTACGAGTTGAGGTGTTACAAACCTCCTCTATCTCAACATCTCCGCCATCGACCTCCTCTATCTCAATCTTCTCCGGTATGTTCCAATCAAACATAAAGGAGAAAAATATGTAAACGGGCACGACTGCGACGTTCAAAATGGCTAACATCTGGAAGTACTTGTCAAGACGAGACTCGTCAATGGTGTTGCCAATCCAGTCTCGTGCAAGCAAAGTAGCAATAGCACTTAAAAAACTGCCGATGCCCATCACACTCAGATTGAACGGAATCGCAAAATAACGTTTGGATTCCGGCACACGGTCGAAGAAAAAATCGTCTAGCCCTCTACAAACAAGGCCGTTGGCGATCCCTATCAAGGCAAATTGAGGGGCCAACCATAGTACTTTCATGGGAATACCTTTATCCTCATGATCTGGGAATTCCTTGATTAACTTCGATCTCCGTACTTCCACTAACCAAGCACTTAGTGAAGAACCGAAAGCAAACAACATCCCGACACCGATTCCGGCGGATCTAGCACAATGTTGCTTCGGTTCTTCGTTGCGCAAAAGCTTCTTGATCAGATACTTAGACGACGTGGACACCAGAAAGCTTATGAATGAGCTGAACACGTATAGTGAAGTAAGTGGAATCTGATTGAATGAATGTAGAGTAATTCTGGGATTGATGCTAGTATCCAGTCCATCACTTTGAAGTATGAAAAGAGTGTCTCGCGCTGCTTCAACTAGACTGTAAGGGATGAACAAAAGCCAAAGAGGGATCAACTTTACGAGCCCCATCGCCTCCTTCAATCGAGAAACAGCCCTTCGTCCCGTCGGTGTATTGCACTTGTAATAGCTTCTGCCGCAGATGAAAAGAATGTAAGCCGCGGTCACCACGATGAATGAGACCATTGTTCTTTGCGTCCAGTCAAGGCTTGATGCAAACGTCCAGCAAATGAATTTTCCGAGAGAGCTGGCGCCATAGGACCATACACCAGCACGACCGGTGACAACATCCGCGTACTCTTCCATCTGTTGTCTTTCAGACCTTGTGTCCCCGTCAACCATATCATCTTCTTCGAAGTCGAACTGAATACATAAATGTGACTCTAGACAAGCATCTTCTCCGGCTAAACCAGCTATTAATAATGGTAGGGCTATGTAAAGTATTCCAATGTTCGTTTTTTTAGAGAGAAATTTACTGCAAAGCCATAACAACAGTAATCCCTGCAAAAATAAAGCCATTTTAGACTCACTTTGTATGCAAAAAAGGTTTCAATTTGTCATGGTTATAAGGAATATCTTACGAAGACCAAACATGGGATGGCGACGATGATTATTCGACAGAGACCGAGGCGGTCGATTGCGATGTGATAAACGACGATCGTCAAGAAGAATACTATGCCTTCGAAAGTTGCCGACAAGGCTGTCGCTCCTCGGAGAGATGTCTTCCAGACGTCAACGACGTAAGATATCAGGAAAGCTTTAAATGCAATTTCTATAAATGCTTTGCTGAAAAGCAAACCTATCATCATTCATAATTGTTAGGAATTAAAATCTATATATATTAATATTTAAAAATTATAATTATCGATATTCATTGATCTAGTGATCAAAGACGATAATGTCGTCTTACCTTATGTATATTTGAATCCTGACATTTGTCTTAGAACATAATATCTATCTACTTAATTAATATATATATATATATAGGATATGATCTTGTTACATAATGTAAAACTTTTTAGTTTTACACTGATTTAAGACCGTTTGATGAGTGAAAATATATGGTTGAGATTAACGGTAGAAAATGACAATATATTTACTGGAAAAAAAGAGTCAATCTCAGCAATCTATTTTCACTTATCCAACGGTCATAAAAATTACAAAACTAAAAGAATTTTATATTGTATAACAGGACCCTATACCATACACACATATATTAAGTAGAGAGATATTATATTCTAATACAAATGTCAGCATTAAGTAGAGATATATCATTATCATGCTTTTGATGAAGTGATTTTTTTTATCATTAAGTATGAGCCTTTATATTATATAGATGAGCGATGATTGTATACAAATAAATTCTAATAATAATGTGTTGTATAGTAATGCAATTGGGACATTTTTATCCTTTTGCTTAATGGACTATGCAAACGTTTCTTCAAGGTAGAGTTTGGCATAATTCTTTTATACATTGTATGAAATTATAATCGGTCCAATTAATTTATTAAAATCTATTAATCTAATAAAAACCAAAACCACAGAAATAATTGAATATTGTTGATTGAATAAAATTTTAACTTATCACTCAGGATTCGTTCGTAGTAAAATGTTTTTTAGAATAATATTTCCTTTTATCATTAAGTACACTCAATAGATTTTAAAAAATTTAATTATATGCACTATGTTTATTTAACGAGAAAAAAATATTAAATCCATTATGTTAGAGTTCAAATATTGACGTTATGAATGAAAAGAAAAGTTGAGAGAGTATCCTATAATGAGCCTTTACACTATTTAATTTAAATTAATTGATTAATGAATTGGATATAGATGAGTGATGATTATATAAAAATAAATTCTAATAATGTGTTGTATAGCGAAGCAATTGGGGCATTTTTATCCTTTTGCTTAATGGACTATGCAAACGTTTCTTCAAGATAGAGTTTGGCATAATTCTTTTATACATTGTATGAAATGATAATCGGTCCAATTAATTTAGTAAAATCTATTAATCTAATAAAAACCAAAACCACAGAGAAATAATTGAATATTATTAATTGAATACAATTTTAACTTATCACTGAGGATTCGTTCATAGTAAAATGCTGTAGGATATAGTTACCTGTGATGAATAGGGCAGCCTTGGAGAATCGAATGTAATTAGACGCCCATCTCCATGTGCCGCAGATACAGTCTTTGAAGTTGGCCATTTCTCCGGGAGCATCAGAGCAACATTCAAGACGGAAACCTTGGTGATGGGAATGGCATTTTATATACAGTTTTGGATGTGGACGGCCTTGAAAAATCAATGGACCAACCAGGATAACCACGTTGTTAACTTTGCTTGATTCGAGAGAATGGGATCTTCATCTCTCTTTTTCCCTGGGTAAACTACACAAACGGTCATTGAAGTTTGGATAATTATTTTTTACCATTTAAGTTTAAAAGGTTACAAAACGGTCACTAATTTTGTTTTATAACAAAATGATCACAGAAGATTTATGTGGTATATTTGGCTTACTTAATTAGAACCGTTTGACCAAATGATTAATAGTCCATGTGACTCACATCTGTTTAAATTAAAGAGAAATTAATGAGATTAAAAAAGAAATTTCAAAGTACGAGATCGTTTATTTCATTTAATTAAAATTATTAGAGAAAAGAAAATAAGAAAATATGGGACGCTGGAGCGGATGATTGATGTGGTCATTGGGATATTTCAGCTTTGGATCTTATTGTAAACCCCATTGTGGTCACCCATATAATCAATGTCAAACCCCCGGATCCTAATGACATTGCGGATCAACCTCTTTGGCGCTGGAGCGGAGATCATCGGTTTGGGGTTAAATCAGCCTATACTCAGCTTCTCGAAGATGAATGGGACGTTGTTGATAACACCTGGAAGCAATATGGCTCTGCGTCTTCCCCAACGTATCCGGTTCTTCATCCGGCTTGCTCTTAAGGAAAAAATCATGTCGAACTATGGGCGAAACAAACGCATGCACTACAACAAATTTGTCAATTTATGACAAAATTTCTATATGACGTTACGTATATTGTCACAAAACATACTATAATGTGACGTTTTTTTATTTTCGTCATATTTATTGATTAATGGTATATCTTTTATGACAATTTTAAAAATGGTCATTGATTTTTGTCACTATATGTTTGGCGCCAAAATCTTCCCACCAAATTCTTTGGTGGGAAACCTTTTAATGACATTTAGATAAAATAATGACGTTGTAAAATCGTCTCTAATGAAAAACAAGTATTAGTGACGATTTATTATAATGACGATTGAATTTGAATTAGTGGTGTTGCACATTTATCACTAATAAATTTTATTCGTGACAATTTAATTTGTCATATTTTATAAGACACTAAAGGTAACATTTTATTATTGTCACAAAAATAGTTTTAGCATGACGAAATCAATTATTTGTCATTTGTTTTTATCTCTCTTTTTTATATGATGATTTTAAAAGATGTCAAGAAATTATGTCAGTTGATGTTAAAAAATAAGATAATCTAAAATCCTTTTTAAATAATGCAATTTATAGAGTTTTTTTGTGTTTTTTATTTTATTGACATGATTCTATTTAGATTATCTCACATTCAAAGTTTTTTAAAGTAAAACATAAAATAATAAATTGTTAAAATGAAATGACCAGATGATTTTTTTATATATTATTGTACTTCTATGATTTTCATGATGTTACATCAAAGTGTTTAGAAAAAAATAGATATTTATGCTTGATCATAGAAATACCCATAAACAATTTATTATTGGGTTCAATGAAAGCATTGGTATAAACTCGATTATTCAAGCTAAGCTTTGGGGTATATATGAAGGAAGGACTTATTCTTGCTCGGAGCACTAGTCGCACAAGAATCCTTGTTCAGTCTGATAGCTCCCAGATGATAAAGATGCTGACTGAAGAGAACCCAGCCCGTAGCCAGCTCCCTCTCGTTCGAACGATATCAGGTTTGTGTAATTATGGTTGGGAGGTAAAGTTTCAATGGATACCACGATCTTGCAATAGGGTGGCCGACAGAATCGCAAAACTTGTTCCGGCTCAACATCTCGACCTAGTGCATTATGCTCTCCCTACTATGAAAGTCGTGGACCTTCTCACTCAAGACGCTGCCACAATGCAGCCAGAAGCTGTAACCCATCTTTAGATTTCATGTTCTAGTCACTTTTTAATTCAAAAAAAGAAAAAAGAAAGAAATAAAGCGTTCTACTCTATAATTTATATGAGAAGAAAAGAGAGGAAATTAAAGATTTGTGAGAAAAGTTATGTTATTGTGAGAAAATTAGAGAGAAACAGTGACGAATATACATTGTTTTCAATGTGGGTAAGTATTACTCTAAAATTTTAAAATTTTTATTAATTATATATTTTATTGATTGTATCTATCTTGAAATTTTATTTGTGTCACTCCACTTATAAATTTTTTTATATCCGTCACTAAAAATATCTATAAGAGTTTAGAAAGAATTTAATCAAATAAAAAAAGAGGCCTGAGTTTAGGATATATTCAAAAGATACAACTTAAACATAGGTTGCGTAAAAGTGGGGATAATACTATGTTAAAACGATGAGAGTATTTTTTTTGATCGTATCATTTTGTTATGTTTTTCTTCTTCTTCTTATTGCCTTCGAATTTTTGTAAATAATTTGAGTTGATGCCTATTGCCTTTGTATCATTTTAGTTAATGATTTTTGTCTTTGAATTTTAGTAAATACTTTTCTGATTTAGAGTTTTGAAAATGAAGTGTTCTAATTTGGGGTTCTTATTCAATAATTTATGAGGGAAAAGTAAGGTTTCTGAAAAAGCCTTTTTTTGACTTTTTGATTCGTTCTGATTTAGGATTTTTGCTCAATACTTTTGTGTTTGTAAGTGTTTATTTATGTTGATTTTGAGGGAATATGTTGCCTTTTTGAGTGTTTGTGATACGTTAATTTTTTGCGTATTCATATAAGTGTTTGTGATAGGTCAACCAATGTGTGGTTTTGTTTGGAAATATGTCTCGTTGACATCTAATTTTATTCGGATATGCTAATTTTAATTTGGAGCATTCGAAGCTAAATTTAAGAGGTTCAAGCCCGGGACTAATTGAAAAATTTAAGAATAAATTCTATAATTTCAATATTCTCTTATTAAAAATAAGGTTTAATATAAAAATAAGTGTCTAAACTTTGCATCAAAAAAATGTTTTAGTGCCTAAAAAAAATTTCGTTAAAAATAGGTGTCTAACGTTTTCATTGGAGATTTTTAGGTCTAGCACCATAACAACTGTTAAATTTGACCGTTAAGTGACACGTGTCACGTTCTGATAATTTTGAGAATTTATTTAAAAAATTAAAAAATTAAAAATATTTTTTATTAAAAAAAATCACATCTCCGCGTCCCTCCTCCCATCTCCCCCTTATCCCTTCCCTCTTCCCCTTTCCATGGTTGCCGGCGTCGACTCCCGACTGTCACCACCACCTTCATCGGCATCAAGG